CTGTATACTTTTTTTGGTTTATAACCTGCTGTCAACACATTGTCTTATTTTATTGTCTCAACATCCCTGTGATGCAGGCATCATTATCCCCATGTAATAAATGAGGAAACAGGCTTTAAATTGTTAAATAACAAGTTAACACACTTAGTAAATGTTCTATTAGTTAAATTGGGCGAAGATGACCCCTTCCTTCAAGAGGCTTTGGCACGAGACTTACAAACACGAGATGGAATGATTATATGGCAACATGTAAGAAAATGCTAGATAGAATGCTACAAAATTGACAAGAATGCTGAAGGAATTCAAGGGAGAAAGATTACTGGAGATGGAATTAATCAGTGAAGGCATCATTTAGGGATAAACCTTAAGCTGGATCATAAAAGAAATATAAGATTTCAATTAGCAGTAAAAAATTACAGGAAAGAAGAGTGACATCAGTAAAGGCATTAATATGAGAACAAGAAACACACAATGGAAAAGAATTTGAGTTTGAAGGGAGATGAGTCTGAAAGGATTAGTCTCTTAGCTGTTCAAGAAAAGTCCACTCCTAAGAGACAATGGGTTTCCAATCAATTAATATAAAATAATATGGCACCACTTGCAGTTAATTGCTTTCCAACCCAAAATATACAGAAGAGCAGTAAATGTACACTCTCTGCTATGGACCCCAGGAATGAAAAGGAGAAAGACACAAGAGAGGCCAGGTCTAAACTGGTGGTTATGGTGATAGAAGAAAAGGTGGGTGAGTAACATGAGCCTTATTGGCCCTCAGATCTGTGACTGGGAAACATGAATAGAACACATTTAAATGCTACCCCCCCCCAAAAAAAAAAATTTTCTCATTCCTTTATTGATACTTTTTCATCTGAAAGGTGCCTGACCTATTGATGATAGGAAAAAAAATGTCCTTTTAGGCTGTTGTTCCCTACAGCCTTTCTCAGCCCAGAAATGAAACTAAGGTCAGTCACAGAATGAGTTAAAATTAGTCCCTTCCAACTTTCCCACACAAGGCACTGCTTTGTTCTGTTGAAACTTGTCAGGTTTAAATCCAGAAAAGTCAAGGTCTTGCTTAAATGTATAATAATTTGCAAATAAGCAGATGGACTATGGAAACGATGGGTGAGAGGCGAGGAGAAAGGAGAGAATTGGGAGGAAAACAAAAAGGAAAACAAAAAAGAGCAAAAAACCATTGAAATGAATCTCATTTAGCTGAAACCCCATGTAAATTTTCTGCTTTTGTTGTTCAAAACTCACTTTAGCAAAACAAACAAAACCAGTTAGTTGAACAAGTTTCAATTCCTTGCAGTGACTAAAAGAAAGAGATGACAAGGAACAGAAAGAAACAAAAATCTCAGCTTCTCAGGGTGTCAACTTAAACAGCCAAAGCAGTGGCATGAAATGTGTGTTCAAGCAAAGAAACCTCTAACATGAAATACACTGCCCCAGAGTCCCCTAGGAGATCAAATGACAACTAGAAAACATGCTTCAGTTGGAGCTTTCCCTGAATAACATTCACAGTTGCTCTCTCTCCTTCCCCACAAATGGTAATGAACTCTGGTAATAAACCTGCTATTGAGGTGCCACTATCAGATCCTAAAAGAAGTGAAGGCACATATTTTACCCTTGTGACAGCCTTAAGGCGCCATCTGCAGTTCTCAGCTAAGACTGCAATATACCCACACCTCCTGCTAGCTTGTTAGGATCAACCACTAAAGAAAAAAGAAAACAAAGAAATACAAAATTCATGTCAGAGAATCCTCAGAAGCACTGGGTTATAGAGTAGATACAAACATAGGTTTGAAACATAGTGCCTAAGAAAATATCTAAGGGACTTATTGGCTATAAGCTCAATGAGCAATGAGAAAAAGCTAATAAATTCTTAGGCTGCTTGATTTAAAGAATGATATATTGTCCAGACCTTGAGAACTTAATAACCCCACAGTACCCTGTCCTGTCTGTACACGTCTGAGAATTGCATTTAGTTCTGGGCACCACAATTTAAAAGCAATATTGACAAGAGCCATAAAAATGTTCATACCTTTTGACCCAGTAATCCCACCCATGGGAATTTATTCTGAAATAATTCAAGAGAATAGATGAATTAGAAACATAAAGATATTGATGCAGCATTCTTTATAACAAAAATATATATTAATAGCATAAATGTCTCCCAATAAAGGGAATATTATACATTAAAATATTATGTCATTTGAAAAAAAAGATGAATCTTGAAAACATAAGAGAAAGAAGCCAGACACAAAAGGAGATATTGTATGATTCCATTTGTATAAAATATCCAATACAGGCAAATCTATAGAGACAGAAAGTAGATTAGTAGTTGCTGGGAGCTGGTGGGGAAGAATGGAGAATAATTGCTAATGCATATAGAGTTTCTTTTTAGGATGGTAAAAACATTCTGGAATTACATAGTGTTGGTGTTTGCAAAACCTTATGAATATACTAACACCCGCTAAATTGTATACTTTAAAAGGCTGAATTTTATGGCATGTGAATTACATCTCAATAAAATATATATGAAGTCTTCACAAATATACATATATATATATGCTCCTGATTCCATGAGGGGGTTCATAAGTTGACACTCAACCACTGAGTCACACTGGTTGGGCTGTTTTTTGTCTCCTGATTCCATGAGGGGGATAAAACAGTATAAAATTACATTCCCAATATGATTCATGACCTCCTGGTTCATAAGTTGACACTCAACCACTGAGTCACACTGGTTGGGCTGTTTTTTGTTCTTTGTAGCAAAAGATGGCTAATCTAAAAAGAAATTACAACCCTACCTGGCTTGGTTCAGTGAATAGAGCATTGGCCTGCGGACTGAAGGGTCCCAGGTTCGATTCTGGTCAAGGGCACATGCCCAGGTTGTGCGCTCGATCCCCAGTAGGGGGCGTGCAGGAGGCAGCCAATCAATGGTTCCCTCTCATCATTGATGTTTCTCTCTCCCTTCCTCTCTAAAATAAATAAAAAAATATTTTAAAAAGAAAAGAGAAAGAAATTAAAGGGAAACTAATTTCAGTTCAATAAAAGAACAACTTAACTATTACGGATATTCAAAAGGTGGGAAAGGAAGGAAATTTCCTATTCAAGAAAAGCCAAAATGGTCATCTTTGAAGCAAGCTATTCTCAAGATTCTGCATTGGATAGGTTCTTGAGGTAGAGGCCTTCTCAGTTCTCTTCCAACCCTTTTTAAAGGGTCTATAAATTTTTTATTTGTGGCAATGGGAGAATACAAATTTACTGGATTTCACTAAATCAATTCAGGTAGAGACTAAGGAAGACTTCTTGCTTGCTAGTCTTAGTTTTATTTATTTGTTTGTTTGGATGTTTTCTATTGTTGTTATTCCTCACCCAAGGATATTTTTCCATTGGCTGTTAGGGAGAGGGAAAGAGAGAGGGAAAGACAGAGAGAAACATTGATGTGAGAGAAACACATCCATTTGTTGCCTCCTGCAGGAGTCCTGACCAGGGCCCAGGCTGGGGAGGAGTCTGCAACCAAGGTACGTGCCCTTGACCGGAATCAAACCCAGGACCCTTTGGTCCACAGGCCGACGGTCTATCCACTGAGCCAAACCAGCTAGGGCTGGACTTTATCATTATTATTATTATTTATAGAGAATAGTAGCCAAAATAATTCTACTTTTTAAATATATATACTGCTCAGAATTAACTTCCAGAAAAAAAGGGAAAAAAGTGTAAAAGATAACCACACATAAGAAAGAACAAGAACGCGGGAGTAAAAGTATATAATTTTCACATCCTGCACCTGGTCCCAGTCGTCCTCTGCATCCTGGACTGTTTCTTCCACACTTGGCTAGTAACTCAGGAATTCAGTAAGGCTCCTTTCAGATGCTCGAGATGCTGGTTCCCTAGAGTTTCCCCAAAGTCCCCATAAAGTCATATGAGATATAAAATCATGAATTCTTCCATAAGTGCTCATAAAACAATGCCATCTACCCCTTCTCCACTATCCCAATGAACTCTATTTACACCTCTTGTGACACTTAGTTCAAAACACTGAATGAGGTGAACTTTGATATCTGTGTATCTGTGCTATCTTCAACCAGATTGTAAACTCCCCGGGAGCAAGGTGTTGTAGCTCAGAATCAGACCCCAAGTCTGGGGAAGACCGGGGGTCAGCCAGTCCAACCACCCATGTAAAGTTTGAGGGCTCTCCACAATACTCCTCCAAGCAGAGGAGTCTGTACGGGGGGCCTACCCCCTACTCCACAGCAGCTTGTTCCTTCTTGGGGAAAGTGTACCTCCTAGAAAGTTCTATAAACGGAATTAAAATGTTTTCCTGAAATCTTAAAATTTAACATCAGTTTTACCCCTTAGTAATCCACAGAATTGATCAAATCTCTTTTGTCACAGGGTAACTTGTGAAATATTAAACCTTCATATTTTTCCTTCGATCTCCTAATCCAGTGCTTTGCACATAAAAAAAAAAAGTTAAATAACCTTCCTCCCCCACTCATCAATGTTACCAAGAGTGGGATAAGGTGGCATATTTTCTATAAGATATTTTATTGATTTCATAATGTTTTTCATTTCATTATATGGTTTTAAGAAAAATAGGAATACAACAGCCAAGAACTCAGAAATTCAATACATAAATACATTCTTCCACCACAATAGCTTTCTCACCTATTTAAGGTTTTCTCAGTCTCCACTACAAGCAGTTTCTTTAATGCTGTTGGGTGCCCCCTGTAGGCAAAGATAAACTGGGACACACGGCCCAGCTCCGCCAGGAAGAGTCCATCCTCAAAGGGAAATGTTCTTCTCACCTCTAGAATCCCCTGAGTTTCCTGGGCGGACTCAAGGCTTCATACGCAGCCTGGATCTCCAGGAAGTGCCTCTGAGCCTCTTCTGTCTGGTGCGGGTTGTGGTCAGGGTGCCAGATCTTCACTAGCTCCCGATATCTCTGATGTATTTCTTCATTTGTTGCCCCTTCTAAGAGACCCAAAACCTTAGGGAAACAGAAGCTGACAAATTAGAATCCCATAAGTTGTCAGGATACCTGGGCCTTTCTCTGCTCCCTTCTTAAATCAGGCTGTGATATCTCTGGGATCGGCTCCTTCTTGACATGAAAAAGGCCTAGAGCCTCACATTAGAATTCCAGCTCTGGATCTCATGGCAAGAACCAAAATTGGCCTTTAATCACAGCTGCCCATTTTCCAACCTAGAACTTCACACCCCTGACAGGATCTCTTCCTCGCAAAAGAAATAAGCATGTGTGTCCACCAAAGACATGGTCAAGAATGTTCATAGCAGCTTTATTCAGAATAGTCCCCTCCTGGAACCCAAATGTTCATTAACAATAGAGTGGATACATAAATTCTGGTATGTTCATATAATGGGATACTAATTAACAAGAAAACAAGCGTTTTACAATTGTGTGCAACAGTATGAATAAATCTCACAGACATAATGTTGAATGAAAGCAGACACAAAAGAGTACATACTGAATGATCCACTTATACGAAGTTCAAGGATGGGCAAAACTAAACTATGGTAACAGAAGTCAGAATAGAGGTTACTTCCAAGGAAAGGAGTATAGCTTGGGAGGGAACATTCTTAGGGTTGGAATATTCCATTCCTTGATCTGAGTGGTGGTTACATAGGTATATACATAAAGTTAGTAAACTTTGTAGATGTTATACCTCAATGAAAAGTAAATAAAATACACATATTTCCCGCCACTCACTATTAGAGCCTCGGCACCTTCACACCCCAAGAAACCAGGACATCCTCCCGGCCTGACACAGCAGACATGAAAACAAGGGGCACCAGCTCCAATCAGGCTTAGCCTAACTCCCAGACAGGAATGAAAAGGGAAGAAAGCCTTACCTGGTAAGCCAACTGACGCTTCGCCAGCTCCAATCAGGCTTAGCCTAACTCCCAGACGGGAAGAAAGCCTTACCTGGTAAGCCAACTGACGCTTCTCATCCTGAAAACTGCGAACAAACTCATAGAGCTTCTCCCACTCCTGGAAGTAGCCGCTGCTGAAGCCACGATCCCCCACCAGCAGCCTCCAGACACGGTAAGGCAGAAGGAGGACAGACTCCATGAGGCGGCCAAGGAGGGGGAAGAAGTTGAACCAACTCAAGAAGGAGTCCAGGGTCTCTGCCACATAGCTGAGGGTGGCCGCTGTGTTGCAGAGGGCGCTGTATGCCAGCGGGCCGGTGAACGCCAGGTAAGCTAAGCCCAGGCGGTAGAGCCGCACGCTGAGTGTCTCTGACACCATGGAAGCTTTGTAGCGGCGATGCTTCTGGGCTGTGATGCTGGCCACCAAGCTGATGGGCAGAATAGCTATGGGGCGGCCATAGAAGATAGGGGAAGTGAGAAATGCTGCCCCTAGAGTGTTCTTAAAGTCTGAGGTCTGGTTGCCAACAGCAGCCACCAGCAAGACTCCTAAGCCAACTGCCAGTGGGAGGCCCACAATATAGAAGCTGGCCATGAAGGAAAGGCTAATGAGAGCCACAAGGCCAAAATAGATGCCCACTATCATCTGGGCGGCAAAACGAATGGGACTCACAGGGGGTGTCCCGCCTCTTGAACTCTGCCTCTGTCCTTGGGCTCTGTTGGCCTGAGCTACAAAGCTTGGGAGCTTCCAGAACTCCCAGAGCCAGCCCAGCCCACCACCCCCCAGGGTAAGCATCCAGAGCAGGGCATGGCTGTCCCTGCCCAGGTACAAGTGGTGGAGCCCAGCAGGGCCCCCTACAGCCCAGAGGACATAGGTCACCAGGAGCCCCTTGGCCATCCTTTAGGGAAAGTGTCTCAGAATAACTCCAGTGGCACCTGACTTTGCTCAGAGTGCAGAAATCTGTAGTTCTCTGTGAGAATCATGGCCATCATAGCCACAGAGTTATCCCTAGACCCTAGAAGATAGAAAAAAAAGCAGCTTTAAGACCACATCCATGTCTCAACACAGTAACCATTTGTTCTTCCAATAATAGAGTCCAGAGTTTCCTGAGTGTCCCTGAAATGCTGGTTCTTCCATGCCCTTGGGTCTAGCACCTCATGTCTGTTTTTTAACAACCACAGCAACTCCAAATTTAGGAGAGAAAAATGTTTTCAATGCTTTCAGTAGCCCTAGACGGTTTGGCTCAGTGGATAGAGCGTCAGCCTGCAGACTGAAGGGTCCCAGGTTCCATTCAGGTTACGGGCACATGCCTGGGTTGCCGGCTTGATCCTCAGTAGGGGGTGTGCAAGAGTCAGCCAATCAGTGATTCTCTATCATCATTGATGTTTCTATTTCTCTCTCCCTCTCCCTTTCTCTCTGAAATCAATAAACATATATATATTTTTTTTAAAAAACAAAAACAAAATAAATGCTTTCAGCTGAGTAACTGAGAACTCAGAACAGGTACAAAAAATCATAAGCTTACATTTTAGACCTCCCCTGGGACCACTGACCTGGGAATGACTCAATGGGGAGTGGAGTGAATAAGTGTGAATAGGAGGCCCTTCTAAAGTTCCTGCACATTTTGAAAGTTCCTGTCCCCCAATCCAACTCTGACTATGGCTGCCCTCAGACACTGACCCAAGGTTTTAGCCCTTCTCCAGTATTCCAGCTCTCTCCAGGCCAAGAAATCTTCCCACAAGTCAAACATGAAAACAGTCCTCAATTCCCTCCCCTTAAACAGCTCTGGGAAACTACATTTTGACCTGAACCCTGGTGCCCCACAATTCTATCACCTCCTGCCAGGGCCGACTTGGAAAGTCTCTCCAAAGCAGCCATGAATCCCCAGAATATAAAACAAGATGCCAAAGTGTGCCTGCCAGTCTCTCCCTTGCCCTCTACTTAGAGTGGGACTCAGACCACCAGCCAGTCCCTGCTAATCCCGCATGAGCGGCCGTACCTGGGTACCCCGGCTGCCGCTGCCGGGCGCATCAGACCAGTCATTTCCTTGGACCATAGAGTCAAAATGGCCCTTCACTCCGCTCCCACTTCCATCCAAATGGACTTTGTCTTTCTATGTTTGCTGTGTCACGGAAATCGGGTCATTGGGGCCAGGCTCCTCCCCGAGGCCCTGCCCGGCGGCCTCTGGATCACCTCGAGCTCCTCTCACCCGCCCTCTCGGGTAAAGTCGGTTTAAGGTTTTCTGGTCGAATCCAGCCTCCCCCGGCTCCAAGGGGC